GAGATCTTTAACTTTAGGCAGACGGCACGGGTATACCGTCCACCCCCCGTGAGTACATAAACAGCATGTGGATTGCGACGCACGGCGTTAACACAAACAATTAGAAACTCCATGTAGACACGCCATTTGACACTTTTGCAGTTTGCACACAGCTTCTCACAACGTTTTTGTACGAACGTCTTTCCTCTCCACTTATCACTTCACCCACGCAACACCACGCTTCACACAAAGCCGCTGTAAGAATGGATGTCGGCGGAACTGACACATTGCAAAAATGGTACATCGCACCGGTAAACCGGAATCGAGAGAGGAATCCGTCCGGATGGAATCCATAGCTTTACGTTTTTGCTCCCGAAAGACAGTGCCGCACATGGATACGCCGCTCGAACATCTCAATGTCATCGACATCTTTCCTGGCTGCGCACCGTCGAGGGAGATGTCATGTTGTTTTTTCTTTTCTTCTTTTCAAAAACCACATCCAAGCCACAAAGTCTTGCAGGATGAACGGGTGAGGTAAGCGAAAGTTGAAAGGTCGCTGAAGCCCTGCCGAAGTGACACATGACATTTGCAATGCCAAACTGTTGTTTTTTTGTGCATATTCTATCATATTTCGCAAATTCTTCTCGTTTTGAAACGAAACAAAACGAAGGAATTCTCCAATCTGTTCTTCGGTTCGTTCGTCTTTTTGCCGTTTCCGGTGCGAAACTCCGAGCTCGCTTGCGCCTCCAAGTTGAGCGTGAGTTCCTTCTTGACGTTTTGGATCCTCTGAGGGTACCTTTTTTCAAACGAAGAGAGAAGGAAAAGAAAGGAAGAGAAGATAAGGGAAGAAAGAAGGAAAGAACAAAGAAAGAAAAGAGAAGGTAAGATAGGAAGATGTTCTGTTCAAGGCATGAGAACGGAGAAAAGAACACGGATGAAGTTGAACAAACTTTCAGGAAAAAACAATTTACGACTTCCAAATTCACGTGAACAGTCGATGTCACCACAAACCGGAAACTGCGACGAAGTTTGCAGCTATCTTCTCTGTCTGCAGTGCCATCTGGCAGCTTTGTACCGACTGAAGGTTCATAGCCGATGACCAACTGCCTGGTTTCAACTCGAGCTCAGTTTCAGAGATGACACACTCAGGTGCATGCGGGCGCTAACTCTCGCACCAGTTCGAACTTTGCCACGCGGGTGTGAACCGAACTGCGGTCTGACACGGCGGGTTCCGACAGAGTTGCCACTCGTGCCAACGCAAACGGCGCACGAGTAGTTGGATTGAGAGGCCAAGGCCGCTGCTGCGCATGCCTGACAGCGAAACAAACAATCTGTGAACTGTTTCGTTTTTTGCTCCAGCCCTCAAGCCCCAAAACAAACTCCGTCACACTCGTCATCGTGTTGCTTTGTTTCGTTTCATTCGTCGTCCTCGTAGAAGAGGTGGTAGTTCCTCTCACCTTCCTGTTGATCACAAACCCGCACCTGCAAGAAAACACGTCCCAAGCGGGGTCCCATACTCGTTCACTTGTTTCTTGACTCCGTTCCTTTTCCCCGGCCTTTTCCAATAGATAGGTTTGAATCCGAGCACCACAAAGGCGACAGTTTTCGCCCGCGACGCCCAAAGAAGCCGCATCCTGCAGCAAATGACTGCAAAGATTGAGGAACGAAGAAGCCAGCGCAGGGTTCCACAGCTTCAATTGTGAACGGCAAAAGCTGTGGGTTGTGAGCGCCCTGCTCCCGACCGACCACATTGGAACCACAGCGAGAAGCTATAACATGAAGGACTACCGCACGCAAACAAGAGACGACAAAACATGTCATGTGTTTCTTCTGTTTCGCTTTCATCAGTCGAAAGTCGTTGCAGCGTCATCTGCGCGCGAGGCGTTTCGTGGGCGGCCTGGTATGGCGGGCCCGTTCCTGCATCATACAGCCTCAAGTCAGCCTGCCGAGGCCGCCACTGCCCCATCGATCCGACTCAAGACTGCTGCAGTCTTCTGCAGGAGAGCCATGTTTGGAGGTCATCATCGCTCTCTCTGGGAATTGGAAAGCAAAAAAAGAGCCAAGCCCCACCAACTCCGAACGAAAGCGGCGCTTCAAGAGATCCGCGGTAGGGATGGAGCGCCACAGATCACGCACATAGCGGTACTCTCACTTCCCATTGGGAGTGATGAACATCAATGGATCAGTGGTTTCTTGCGGCAGGGTGGAGGTTGGACCTGTTGAAGGGCCAATTTCAGGCCATCTCAAACACCACTGACAACAGCCCAAATCAAGGCACTCCGCTCATCTCATAGTGCGCCGGCGTGGCAGCGAGTTGAGAGAGGCGCCGACCACGTCTCAAAGCTCAAATATGCTGCCCGTGCTGAGGGCGTTGCTCGAGAGACTCAATAGGACCGTGACAACGATGCGTGTTGCGGACGGCAACTCACTGGCGGCCGTTTGCCTTCAGAACCGTTGTGTGCGGCAAAGCGGAACGAAAGGTTTCTTGTTGGGCTTGCGCCTTGCAATTGGACCGGACCTTTCGCCCTTGCCTATAATACCTTCTGGCGACGGGTTGGCTGGTTTCAGCACGGCTTTTGGTGCTTGGGCGCCCCTTGGCATCTCTTGGATCGCCCCTCTTAAAACCAACCCGATCTACGACGGTTTCTCTCGGACGTGACAAACGGTTGGACCGGGAACGTGACGGACTTGGAAGTGGGACCAAGTCGAGATCGATGACAGTTCATATACCGATTCCGGAGGCGGTGCCTCGGTCGAAGTAGTATGCGCTTCCACGAACGCAGTGGGGCCCACAAAAGTGCACACAAAACCTTTGGCTTGGACCTTCCAGAAGCGACCGACTTAGTCACTGAAAGATCTTTCCGAATGCGATGTTGAGCGATGTTGCTCGTACGCGCACGGCGTCGCTGGTCGGCCAACCCCACGTCTGCGAAAATTCACGGCGCACAATGAGAAACATGTCTGACTTGTACTGACTTGGAATAGCATTCTGACTTGCAGTACTGCGCGCAAGGATCTCTGACCTGGGCGTCTTCACCCTCTCCTTGGCAAATGGGCACAAGCAGCTGACGGCTTCCCTTGAGTCCTCGATTTTACACAAGGCAGGCGCCTCGCTGCACCTGCAGTCAAGTACTCGCTTCCGCTCAACGCTCTGGAACTGATCACTCCCAAGCCCTGGCGAATTTTCAGAAAATTCGCTCTTACTTCAGCCGGCAGGATGGCATTGTCATTGTCCGGTCGTAGGACTTCCGTCAGGCGCATGTAACACAAAACGTTGCGAGGGTCAATAGAAAGTACAAGCTCTCCCTCAACACCGCCAGATGGGGGCGGATTTGAGGCACTGCGATGCAACTTGGCACCCAGGTTGTGGTTGTGAGGGGTGGAGTTGGAAGGATGGAGCCTCACTCCAAGGATCTGGGTTCTCTGGCTCCGATGACACTGTCTCTCAAGCGGTTCCCACAGCCTCGCTTCTGCAATCGTCAACCCTCTGCCGAATCTGCAGTGGCCTTCCTATGCAATCCCCCTAGCACAGGCAGGTGATTGAGGTTTGGATTTTGGCTCAAACAGCAGTGATTGCCCTTTGACGTGAAGCCTGAGGCTGTTGATTCACCCACAGCCTGAAGTAAGAAAGTGCTTCAGCCGAAACAAACGCGTTTGTGGACCCACCGGGTGTGGACCGAAAGTTCAGCAGTTGACCTGTAATCTCTCTAAGAACTGTTTGCGAGAGTTCTTGCCGTATCCGCCACCTAACTAACTATAGCTACTTGGCTAGCTCTTGGCAGCCTACCCCCCTTCAAACAAGAAATGCTTTGAGACCTTGTGCTGGTTCTTTTGCATTGCACAAACTGCTGCTGCAAGCCTTGCCACTGCTGCGAAACTGCAGCTCGATGAACTTGCCAAAGCGGCTGGAGTTGTCATTCCTCTGGAAAGAGTGGAGGGAAATAAAGAAAGCGAAATAAAGAAAAGCAACAAACGGGAAGCAGGAAAGGAAAGGCTAGTGAAAAAGTCCTCGCAAACAAGCACGCACTTGAGCAAAAAAGAAACAGTGATCAATATTGTCCTACCCTTGTCCGTTAACGAGGTGAGACGTACACAAAACACAGATCTTAATCACAGGTACACAGATCTTAATCTCTTTGATTTGTACCTTTTTCGGTCCTCAAAGTTCGAGCATTGCCAAAAGCTTCCAAGAGTGGATTGGATTCCAAAACCTGCTTTTCCACCTCGAACGCGTCCCAAAATGTGTCATAAAAAGCGTTGAATGCTTTCTGACAAGCGCAGATGTGCACAGGTGCTTTTACAAACACGCGAAAATCCGAATATCCTTTCTGGTTTCTAAGGTGTACAAAATTACTTCTTTCCTTTTTAATGTAATCCTCAAGAAATTGTTTGGGCTCCTAAGAAGCCTAAGGAGCCAACGTTGGTCACCTCACCATCAGATGCTCCGGCCATCGCCAAGAACTTCCTGGAAGCAACACGTGATCACGAAGTCTCATCGTTCTTTCTTCAGGCTTGGAGGCCATTGCTCGTAGGTTGGACGCCATCGCAAGCAGGTAGGAGGCCATCGCTAGTAGGTTGCAGACCATCGCTTTGCTGTTGGAGGCCATCGCTCTGAGGATGGAGGCCATCGCAGTAGGTTAGAGGCCATAGATGCTAGGTTGGAGGCCATCGCTAGTAGGTTGCAGGCCATCGCTCTTAGGTTGGAGGCTATTGCCAGTAGGTTGGAGGCCAACGCTAGTAAGTTGGCGGCCATTGCTCTTAGGTTGGTGGCCACCGCTCTTAAACAGGTTGGAGGCCATCTCTTAGTTTGCAGGTCATCGCTCTTAGGTAGGCGGCCATTGCTCTTAGGTTGGAGGCCATTGTTCTTAGGTTGGAGGCCATCGCTCTGGGGTTGGAGGCCATTGCTCTGGGGTTGGAGGAGGTTGGAGGCCATCGCTCTGGAGTTGGAGGGTATTGCTATTAAGATGGAGGCCATTGCTATTAAGTTGGACATTGCTCTTAGGTTGGAGGCCATCGCCGGTAGGTTGGAGGCCATTTCTCTTACGTTTGAAGCCATCGCTAGTAGGCCACGCTCTTAGGTTGGAGGCCATTGCTCTTAGGATGGAGGCCATCGCTAGCAGGTTGGAGACCGCCGCTAGTAGGTTGGTAGGTTGGAGGCCATTTCTTAGGTCGGAGGCCATCGCTAGTAGGTTGGAGGCCATCGCTAGTAGGTTGGAGGCCATCGCTCTTAGGTTGGAGGCCATCGCTCTGGGTTTGGAGGCCTTTGCTCTTAGGTTGGAAGCCATCGCTAGTTGGTTTGAGGCCATCGCTAGTAGGTTGGAGGCCTTTGCTAGTAGGTTGAAGGCCATCGCTAGTAGGTTGGAGGCCATTGCTCCTAGGTTCGGAGGCCATTGCTATTAAGTTCTCTGTGTTCTCTGTTCTTTTTCGAATGACATTTCTTCCTCTTTCAAGTCTCAGAGAGTCAAGTCGGTCTTTGTGACAAAGTGCCATTGGCATGCGCATTCCACGTCCAAATTCCCATTGGGCCGCGTGGAATCGTGTGGCGTAGTGGAAGTTTTCACACGGAGGTGTGGCATTGTTACTCGCAGGGGTAGTTCTTCCGTGTTGGAGTTGGCAGTCCACTTTTGTGGCTGATGGTTGCCGTATTCGTGGGGTTGCGACAATCGGTGCGTGTTTCGATTGTCACTATGCCATTGAGATTGGCGTGTCAGCGGCGCTTTTTCGAATGGTTTCGATTGCGAAACTGCTTGGCAAGGTGTCTGATGGGGCGTCCAACTTCACTTCAGGACGTCCGGTACAAAACTGTTTTAAAGAAGTTTGCAATGGAGGCCATTGCTAGTAGGTTCTTCAGGCCTCGAGTTGTATTTCTGTTCTATTTTTGTTTGTTTTTCTACGTGTTCCTTCCTTTTCTCTTCCGAAGCAAAAAACGAGAACTAAGGCCAAGACATCACGAACTTCGTGGTCTCCGTCTTCCCCGCTCCAGACTCACCGCTGATCAGCACCGTCCTGAAGGTCGAAAGGTTTCGAACTGCGATCCGAAACCATTTCCTTCACCGTGCGGCAAGGCCTTTGAACTTGCAAAATAAGTGAAGGTTATACCATTCTTAGATGTTTTGGGGTTTCACATAACACAAGGAACAATTACAAACAAAACAAGTGACAATTTTTCTACCTCTTCATTTTCTTGTCCGCATCATTTGATATTTGTGGTCTTTTGTTGTTCTTTATATTTTGCTCTATGTTTATCACAGTGACCTCTTCTATATTCAAAGCAGTTCCTACAGGTTTTTCAGTCCTTTGTAAAAATCATCAATGGGAAGCTCATGAACACAAACTCTACCGGGGACAGGGTATCATCTGCGCGCACAGATCTGGATCATCTGCGCACACAAATCTGGATCATCTGCGCACACAGGGCACATCGGGTGGGGTGGGGTGGGGTGGGGCTAATGACGTTCACTTCGACTAGCATTCATATCTAATATCCCAGCGTTGAAGTAAGGGTGCGGGGGTGGGGTGGGGTTGGGGTTGGGGTTGGGGTGGGTTGGGTGGGGAAGGGTGGGGCTCACACACATCTGAGCACCCTGGATCAACACCCGGCCTTTGCACCTACCGTAAGAACCCAAAGTATCGCCACTGTTTAGGCACCCCGCATACGGAAGCCGCGTGTACATACGATCCCCGCGCGTACAAACCATCCCCGTCACCACGTGTACAGACGATCCGATTTCCCGTGCGCAGACGAACCCCTGTCCGGTTTATATCCTCACGTATGTTTCTCAAGAATTGCCATAAAACATCAAAGTATATGGATGAACGTACCTTTTGCCCATTCAGCCACTATTTCATTTCATTTCATTCGCTTCCGTTCGGAAGCCAGTTGGCTTGTGGAGGTCAGCGGCTAAAGCCAAAAGCTAAATTAAGCACGGCATGTCAGCGGAACAGAGCTTTGCGCAGCTCCCGAACTGTACAGTGCCGAACAATCAGATCCCCAGTTGGTGTTGCCACTTCCGGGCAAAACGGGATCCGAACACGGTGCAAACCATCCAGGCCTCTCTGTGGGCCACGGTAGGGCGGCCGGGACGGCCGCTCCCTGTGGACCTGCCATGCTTTTTGGATCATGACGGCCCAATCATGCAACTGAACAAGCGTCCTACCCTGCGGCTCAGACGTCAAGCAATTCCTCCACCAGTGCATGCCTTTCTCGTCAAGGTCGGTTTGCATGCCCCACAGGAAAACCATGCCGAGCAAAATGCCCATGTCAACATCTTCCCATTGCTGGTAGAAGGTCTTCGTTGCAGTTCCATTGGCAACAGCCTGTGCGCATTCTTCTCCAATGGCTTGTAAGAAGTCAGGATCCGGATGGAAAGAGACCCCCGACCTCTCAAGCTCGTCCTTGAGGTCAAGAAATTCCTGCTCCAAAGTGGCGACATCATCAACAGTAGCCCCAAAAACCCGAGGTCCATGAAGCTGCACTGCCTCCACTCTGCATGCCCCTTTCAGGGCAACAAAAGGATCTGCAGGAAGATCCTCACGCGCTTCCTCGCTCACTCCAAAGGCTTGCAACCAAGAGGCACATGTGTTGCCAATGCCCTTCCGGGAGACATACCTCAAGTGGATTCGAAGGCGATTCTTCGTCCAATAATGCCTGAGGCATACTGGACAGGTTGCCCCATGAAGATATCCCGAGATTGGCGTGCGCCACGAATGGGCTGTCATCTGATGCATTCGCAGCGCTTTCAAGGAGGCAAAACCTTGCCCGCAATGGCATCTGCAGTGCACCTTCATCCAGAGATCCTGAAGAGTTTCCTCTTCCTCACCCCGCTCCACAGGCGCAGTGTGCAAAAGATGCATAATGCACCGGTATTTTTGCACTGCTTTCCGCAGCACATGTTGCCAGCCTGGTTTCTGATGCTGCCAAGCCTCCCAAAGCGCCGGCAGGGTAGTCCCCCATTTCGAGAGATCCACCATGGCATGAAGCCAGCCAAGGTCTTCCGTCACCATGCCTCGCCAGCTTTGCGCCATCTCAGCCTCTTCCCGGAGCAACTCCTCGTGCACAAAGGAAGGTGCAAAACGAGCCACCCGTGCAGCGAGAAGAAATCGTTGTTGCGAGATCCGCACCATGATCGGTGCACATCCCGTCCGTTGCAAGATGGCCAAGTCACTAAGAACCTCAGCATCATGAGTCTTCACCTGTCCCAGAGTCCGCCTAAGCAAACCCAAGTAGCAGACCGAAAGCTTGTGCTCATCAGCTAGAGTTAGGCCATTCCAACTGCCACATCCATAAAGCAGCTTAGTGAAAACCAATGTCTCCAGCAAGAAAATGCGTGTGGATTCCTTGAGAGCCTTGTTCAAAAAGACTGGCCGAGCAAGTTGCCGGAATGCGCCCCATGCCTGTCCTACTCTGCGCTTGACTTCAAGGTGGAGACGTCCTGCCGCGGCCATGGTAGTCCCCAAGTGCTTGTATGCATTCCCCAGGACAAGGCACATGGTAGATGACGATGTTCCCACCTGCGCATTCATCTGGGGCTCTCTTCGAAGTCGTTCTCGGAATGCACGGGCTTCTGAGCCAGCATAAGTCACCAAGACTTCTGTTTTGCCTCTGCTCATATTGAGCGTCATGCCATATTCATGGAAAACGTCAAAGACAACACCAAAGGCATACCTGATCTCTGCCTCCATGTCAGCATTGCTAGTAGCGAGGAGTGGTACAGCGAGATCATCTGCCCACACCACTTGTACCGCTTGACTGCCAAGGGTTTCTCGAGCATGCCGCTGCTGTGGCCGGGCCTGCAAGTGATTTTCAATCTTTGCAACAATGGGGCTCATCAAGCAGTGGAACAAAGCATCCGCCAAAGGGCTCCCTGGCCGTGAACCTCTTGCGGTACGCACGCCTCTACCATGGATAGTGGACCATGTATAGCCGTGTAGTTCACGCATGAGTGCTTTCAGAGGCCCTTCAGGTAGAACTCCATGAGAGTGCGTCATCTTGTGTATGAGGTCATCCTCGAAACCTTCCTTCTTCAAAGTTTCTTGAAGCGCCATCAAGTCCACATGTCCGCCTAGCTCCTTCCCGAGAACCAGCTCCCTCACCAAGGAGTGAAATGCCGCCCTCAAGTCCACAAAGAGAATGGCGCTGGGAAGCTTAGCCTGGTAGGCGCGCCTCATCAAAGTGCGCGCATAAAGACTTCCAAAGAGGCACTCTTGATGTGGAAATCCGCCTAGTTGTCCAGGTGGTGACTGTTCTGAAACTTGAGCCATGAGGGCATCCCGAAATAGGGCGTGGATCCGACGGACGAGTACTCCAAGAAGCATCACCCCTCTGAATTGCGAAGGTTCTGTGGGCTGGATTACCTTTGGCAACATGTAGAGGGTGCCGCCTTTCCATTGAATGGGCTCTTTCATGGTGTACATCATCTTCAACACAGCGTCGTACACCCATGTGCCCATGCACCCAGCTGCACAATGAAGCCACGTAGACTCCAGGCCATCTGGGCCGCTAGCCTTCCCAGGTTTAGTGCGCCTGAGGGAGACTTCTATTGCTGTAAGGGTCGGGAGGTCCGCGAAGTGGTGCACACAGTTCTCTTCTTCTTCCTGTGGCTTCGCAAGCACCTCCTCATAGAGTTCCTTCAATTGGGTGGGTGTGCCAGCCTCCAACCGGCAAAGATGGGGTTCCCATTGTTCCCTCATCGCTTCCTGTTGCTGTGCACTGCGCACTTCCCGTCTCATCTGCATCTTAGGGAGGTACATCTTGACCTTCTGCCACAACTCACGAGTGCTTCCACTGCAGTCAACTTCACCCCAGCTCTGCTTCAGCTGCTCGAAGAAGTGGTTAGCATCTCTCCTCAAAAGAGTAGTGGTCTGGTTTCGCACCTGACGGAAATGCTTCAGTGCATGAGCCCAATGCCTTCCCATAAGGCTTTCGAAAGCCGCCAGCCATTCCCAAGAGGGGGACTGGGCCGAGTGTGCCCATGCCCAGAAACATGTCCTCAAGGTATGTTGCTTCATCCAAGTTTGCAGCTGCAACATGGTCTTCCTCCAGGCCGCCTTCACGATGATGGCATCCTTGGTGTCTGTAGCAAGATAGGGCTTACGGTGAAAGCGCCCCCTCAAAGGAAGGATCTTCTGTATGCCTTGGTTGAAGCGTTTCACGAGCTCATGTGCATGTTGATGCATGTCCAAGTTCCATGGGATCGGAGCCATAGTATCAACAACCTGTCGCATCACAAATGGCCCATGAAGCACATCCAATTTCTCTCTGGGTGGTGCTCGACGGCTCCGTGTGAGCTCAGTGCTTCCGCCAATGGCAGCAGTGAGCTGCATGCAGGTGGCCAGATGATCATGCAAATGTTGATGGGCCTGAAGCCCAAGATCATTCCAAGTACGCAATCTGGTAGTACTCCACTTCAAAGGAATAGCCACATAGTCCAAACGTGCAGTGGCTCCATTGGGGTGGGTCCATGTGTATGCAGGTCCCTCATGTATACCCTCGAAGGTGGCAGGCAAAAAGAGGCCTTGCCGCAGAAGGAACTCATGCAGAAGTCCTCCAGCTATGGATTCCTCCTCACCGCCCCAAGCTCCTATGGCCGTAGAGGTCACTTGACCAACCCTTGCGTTGAAATCTCCCATCAAGATCATTTCCTTGCCTCTTAGATGGTCTGGTATTGCTCGTTGGAAGGCCTCCCAGAAGTCAGTGAGCTCAGCCTCCGTGTGCCCACTGTGTGGCACATGAAGATTGGCAATAAGGAGATCCACAGAGCCGGCCCACAATCTCGTCAAAATGAACCTGTGTGAGCTCGCCACCACCGTCCATTGATCTTCATGAATTCGCCGCACCTGACCATCAGCCTCAATGATCTGGAAGAGCAAGGTATTGAGGGCTAACATGACACCGCCATGTCCCCTTTCAGCCGGGTGGCACCTGATCATATAGTGATCATCTCTGAACGCTAGGTTCTTGAGACGTGTTTCTTGGAGAGCTGCGAGGGCAATATTCTTCGCTCCACACAGATGCAAATATGCTTTCACCGCGAGGAAAGCCGACACATAATTCTGCTTCAAGGTCAGCACATTGCAGGACATCATGGTGCCTTTAAGTGTCACATCTGCCCCATGCACCCTTTGGTCCTGCCATCCTGCCAAAGTTGCGGCTACCTCCTCATCTGCCTCCTTCTGTGGCCTTGGGAGAATCAACCGGTGACCGTGCCAAAATTCTCGGAGATCACGACGGTAAAGTAGCCAAAAGGACTGCGCCCACAGGTTTGGGAGGGTCTCTTCACACCGAAATCCTTCCCAAAATGCATCTGTTCTAAATCTGTTGACGGCCGCATGCTTTGCAAGAACATCAGCTGCCTTATTGCCCGGATGCCCTAGATGTGCTTTGGTGTGATGAGGCTCAACCAAGATGTCATGCGCAACCTGGACCATGTGCATCAAAGCTCTGGCCTTCTGACATTGTGGGTCCGTACTGGAGTAAAGTCCAAAGACAACCCCAGCCGCCGAATCAGAGTCAAAGCAAAAGTGCACAGCTGGATTGGCGCTCCATGCTCGTCCCACTGTACGAAACAGGTCATGTACCCATTTCAGGGCCATCATTTGTGCCGCGATTTCCCCATGGTAGGCATCAACTTCGCCATGGAGATGATGTTGTAGAGATCCACCCCACATCCATTCATCACCCCATACCCATAGGGTCACTGCAGCTCCTGTTCCGTAATCATCTTTGGAGCCGTCCAGGTAAAACCAAAGTTCTTTTACTTCCTGCAGCTGCCATTGAGGAAGAACAATCCAAGGATAGCTATGAGCATGCCATCTCAGCTGCTGATTGAAATTTGGTTGCACAACGTGAGTATTGAACCAATTCAGTGCCTCACAAGCCTCTCTGAAGTCAATCCCAGGGCCCCCACTTCCCAGTGCACTGCAGGGGGCAAAGGTTGTCCCCAAGGTCTCTTCCAAACGCAGCGGGACCTTCTTGTTGGCAATCTCCACATCCGTCTGGAGTGGCAGGTTGTTGTTGACTTCGGCAGTCTCCCCTGCCCAATCGTTTTGATCCAGCCATGTATGTGCATCCTGGAACGTGTCAGCCTTCAAGTCCTTACAAAATTGCATCACGAAGGTATTGTGGCAGACTGCTCCATCCAGGGTGGCCAGGAAGTTTTCCACAAATGCACTTAGTTGCCGTCCAACTTCAGTAGAAGATCGCATTTCCTCCATATTTGTGGCCTCTTGGGAGTAGGTGCTATTCTGCAAGGGCAAGACAACTTGTTGGCTTCGCACTACCTCCACATGGGTCTCATTCTCTGTGTGCACAGATGTCTGACTCATGTTGCTAGTGCCCTGAATGAACTCCAACCAAAAGTCATTGTCACATCGTGGGTCATAGTATCCACCACCCGCTTCATCCTCGTCATCTTCCACCCATGGATGAAAGCGCACAGGGTTGCCAGGAGGAGAGAGCTTCTGAAGGGCAAGAACCTCCTGGCCTGGCCAGGGTACCTGAAGCAAAGCCTGATCATCTGACTCCTCAGAGGGCATACCTTCATCAGGTGCGTTGTCCTGACAACTGCCCGGATCTTGTCCATCCACCCAAACTTGGAGATAGCTTGAGTGTGCCAGTAGTCGAGCATGTGGATCTTGTTGCTCCCAAGGTGCAAATCCGACTTGGATTAGACATCTAGAGATGCCATACTTGCCACACTCTTTTGTCAGCCCAAGCTCTTGAATGAATTGCAGCCTGGTGAGAAGGTAGGGAATCACAAGAACCTGCTTGTACTGCACGTTGGAGAAGTATAGGCCAACCAAGATCACGCTCTGTGTGGGCAGGTAGGAGCCCGACATAGCCAGGATCACCATCTTCTCTCCCATCTGTCTCCCAGCCGGTTGGGGCTTGACCTCCAGGATCAAGGCATTGGTGCGGTCTGTGTCAAGCCACATAGCCCCCAAGTGGTCCAAGATGCATGATCGTAGGCCAGTGAACCAGTGTCCAGGTGCACATCTAAAGATAGACGGGAATGGGGAGTATCTCTGATACACCTCATAGACATCATAGACTTCTCGTCTGATTCTGTGTCGTTGCATCAAGGACCTGCCTGATACCATTTGTCGGCTCATTCTGGCAATCTGCTGGTCCAGTCTGGGCCGCTTGCATCCTCTCGGAGCCGCTTTCACAAAGAAGTAATCACCAGCTTCCACAGGGAAATCATCATCCTGCTCCACTGCCACTCCATTGTGCCATAAAGAGACCGGACGTAGTTCTTCATCTTGTCGCCAGGTTCTCCAAATGTGCAGCAGGCGAGGTCGTGACGTTTGTCTCCAGAGCCGGAAGGCCAGAATGTGCGTGCTCAACAGGGGTATCGAATCTTCGTCACTGGACTCCATCACCACCGGTGTATTCGTGCCAGGTGGTCCCAGGTCGACCACAACCAGAAGAGCAAACTTCTGGAGGAGGGTTGAGACTTACGCAGTAGAGTGCAACTGCACCTGCATAAATGCTCGCTCCCTAAAGTCCACCCAGAGCCTCCTCATTTGCCTTCGAAGCCATCTTTCATCATGGTAGAAGTTGATGGCTCCTCGTAGAATCCCCATGCCTCCAGGTGGATTGCGCCCTGGTCGAAGACAGAGGTATTCTCCTTCCCGCATATAGGTGGAAACCAGCATGAAGAACTGCCATCCATCCATAGAACGAACCGCAATCTGGCCATCAACAGCAGGGTCCCATCGTCCCCCTTGCAATCTCTGTACTGCTCTGCGGCTAACCACAATAGTCAGAACATCACCATGTTGGACAATAAGGCGATGGTACGGTTGCAAGAGGACTCCATTGTGCTCAATCCTCATCTCCCCACTGAGTGCCTGAGCTGTCACTGATCGTCGTGCTAGTACATCACGGACTCGCACCTCGGGCTCAATGAACTCAACTTCAGCATAACTGGCACAATGGTCTTCCAGCTGCAAAATATATTCCACATACCAGCATCGAGGCTCTGCATGAGCAAACAGCTGGTCTTGGGGTGCTAGAACAACCACACACCCAGGCGGCTGTGCGACCAACGTAGTGTCAGGCCAAAAAGCTTGAAAGTCCCACTGGCCGTCTTGCAACTCCGGCCAGGCTTGTTGGATCGCCGCGATGAAGCTCATTCCGCCAAACCAGGGAAGCAGATACGGGACATTAGAAGTGTCACTGTCCACCAAGTTGTAGACTGTGAGCGTTCGTTCCCTATCAGGTTCCCGGAATAGCCGCAAAAATCCTGCGTCCACAGCTGCAGCCCATACCCTTGTGACCTCCCAGTCAGCCAAAACAGCAACTTCAACCGGCAGTTCTGGCACGTCAAGAGGTGCTTGTGAGAAGGAGGTCATGTCTTCTTCTTCCAGCATCATGAGGGTTCCAACATCATAGTTCTGCTTGCTCGGGCCAGAGAACGTGAACTGCAGAAACGAGGTCGCATCCTCAAAGATAGATGTGTCCCCCTGGGTTGGTGGAGATCCCAAGTCAATTCGCGCTAGAGGCTCTCCACACTGATCCTGGTACTCACCCACCTCAATGTCAATGCGCATCCAGCTTTCCAAGAGTACCCATTGACTCCCCAGGGAATAAATTGCTCCATATCTCACTGAGCATGCCTGATCCGCACAATCTTGATCAAGACCCACAATCTGCAGCAAGCTCCATTTGTTCTGTCTCCTAGTAGCTAGCAACGGCCGAAGAGTGATTGTCGATCTGCCATCGCGGATTTGCTCAATCACCAACAGCACTGCAACCTCATAGGCCCTCAAAGCTCGTGGAACAGCCAACAAATGCATGCCATCCAAATCCTGTGCCTGCCACGGGGTAGGCTGGGGCCTCACAAAGCCGAACTCCAGCATCTCCCATGGGGGTACAGCATTCTGTACCGCTCGTCTAACCGCAACAAGAAGCTCACGTTCCGAGATGCCCCCTTCACCCATAGGTTCCACGAAGTAACCATTAACCCACGTAGCATGGATGATCAGGGGAGGCCAACGTCCATGGGCCCAGAGAAAAGCTCTCATATCATGCTGGATCAGATCTAGCCCATGCACTCGTGTGTTGACGTCCCACAGGGCTTCATCTGGATTCCTGCCCGGCGCTTGCCCCGCATGCAATGTGCGTGGATTCGTGCCATGAGCGGAAGGTCCCCTCCATTGAAAGAAACCAACATGGTCATCTTCCACCACCTCTTCTTCTGCCATCTGAGGAAACTGCAGTTGCAAACTTCCATCACCTGATCCTTCTTGAGATGACCAGGTAATTTGGGAACTTCCCGGCATTGATCCACTAGAGAATCCTGTTTCTGTTGTGCTCCCGTCATAGGGGTGGGCACGAATCAACAGCAAATCACCAGGCCGGAAGGTGATCATCCTATATTGGTGTACTAGAACACCATTCCTGGCAATCTCCAGGTCATAGTTGATGTCAGCATGTAGACCAACCCATTGGATGATGTTATGCACCTGCAAGCTCTGTGTTGCCACATATGTCAAAAGAAGCACATGCTCTGGTGATTCATATCGAACAGCAATCGGGACGTCCATGCCACGACAGTTTTCGACCATCAGCAATGACGGGATGTTCTGGTAAATCTCATAGGCCAATGGGAACACCCTGAAGTGGTCAACGTTCATCGGCTGTCCTTGTACCTGACACCAGCTCTCGAGGTCTCGGAAGGGATATGGCGCCAGGAAAGTTTCCACTGGACACTGAACCTCCTGCGTCCTGGTGGCTTGTCCAGTAAACGCCATGCAGTGAACCAGCAAATGTTGTGGCGTGGATCGCCACGGAAGTCCCCTCCAATAGCCCAGAAGAAATCTTCTTACTTCACATATGTTTGCCTCCAAATTGGTAAAATGCAATGGTCGATCAACAGGAGGAGGCCCACTGCTAGCCAAAGAGACTGTGATTTCAGGAGATCTCGTCGAGAGAGTATTGGGTGGGGTAGTTTCTGTATTCAACTGCATAAAAACTCCCCAATCATGTTCCTCCTTCGACACTTCTCGTGTGTCATCATGTGCAACAACATCCTGCTCCCCCGTCCAGGCCCCTGGGTGTGAGCCACCGCGCCCAAGTGTTAGGCGCTCTGGATCAGGGTCTTCCCCCCAGGATGTTGCTGAGTCGGAACTTGATGAACTATCCGTTGTAAGCCAAGTGCTACAATCGGAGAGGTCATCCTCGTCCTCATTCACAGGGATTTCAACAGCCTTCAAACGGCTGCCGGATTTTGCATGGAATGGGTGAGGCCAAGCCCATCGCTCCTCTGCCAGCTCGACAAAGCATATAGCCGAGCTTGCACAAAGGTTAGCAGGTGAGAGAAGCTCAAAGATACGTTCTGTCGTGAAAGGATCCCAACCTTCACGAAACAAGACCGCGCCCCTTGCATCCAGCATTTCCGCCACAAAGAAGTCCACCAGGAAAATGTGCCCTGGAAAAGATCCTTCTGTGGTGATCAAGAGGACATCCAAAGCCCCCCTCTCTTCTCCACGCACGGGAATCAGCTGGAGTGGAAAACCTTCTCTTGCTTCTTCAAAAGCCGCACCTAACTGGCATTCCAAACACGCTCCAATCCTCAGGGATCCACTGTCCTTTTTGAACTGATTGGCATCCAAATGGTGATGGAAAAAAAGTTTGGACGCATCTCTTACCGACAGTAGGTTTCCCATCCAACAACCCCAGAGAGATTGGCATACCCTCGGGATGAGAGCAGTCCCCTGTTTTCATCGCCCGTTGCATCAAAGCACTTCCGTCATCATAGAAATCATCCGCCTCAAGGTCAAAGAAGTTGGTCATCACACCAACCCCCTGGGCACAAAAAGGGGCCAGGAAGTAAAAAAGCACAGCAAGCCAACCACTCCATGTTCTTGTTCCTGCCAGCTTCTTCCTACCATGATGCCCTCCTGCCCTTCGGTCTCGCCCGCTTCCAGTGCCATGCTCGGCTAGTCCCCATGCTGCCCAAAACCAAGGCGCAATTAGGGGGAATCCCCAGACTCCTAAACCCCAAAGAAGTCCAAAGGGTGCCAAAACATAAACCTGACCAAAACGTGACCGAATGAACAGGAACCAAGGACCCCCAACTTGCTGTTGAAGGTCTCGTTCATTACCATGATCAGCGCACAGCTCTTTATGCCAGCCATCAGCCTGCCCAAAGAAAGCCGCCCATAGCAAAGATGTCAAAGGAAAGGGCCCCCAACCAGACTCCACGACATTCAGCTTTACAGCTTGTCGTCCAGGTCTTCTGGCACCTTCTTCCCCTGTCCATCCAGCTTCGGAACCTTGGAGGGTTGCCCGAACGGACACATGGCATTGCGCTTGTTGAGCTTGTCCACGTCCATCTGGAAAATCTCTGCCTCTGCGCCAGATTCTTGTGTCACCTGACTCATTGGCTTGACCGCCGCTTCGGTGCTCTTGACATTGGCCGCACTGCGACGTATCTCTTCTCGCAAGCTTTCCAGCTCCTTCATCTTTTTGTCGAGTGTTTGGAGCTGGTCCTCGCGCTGCTGAATATAGCCTTGCCTCTGGTGCTCGAATTTCGTCTGGATGAGCGTGACAAACTCTCTCCATCGCGAGTCCAGCAAGTCTACTTCTTTCCTGGCTGCAGCAATCTGTCGCTCCAACTTGTCTGCCTTGGAGAGATCTTGATGTCGCAGCTTCTTGCATGATTCTGGCGCCAGGAACTTTTGCACCTCCATCTTCAAGGTCTCTGGTGCGGAATCCCCCATCAGGTGAAGGAGCTCGGTGAATCTGTCCTTGACCTCTGGCTGTAGCACTTCGGTGTCCCCCTCCGTAGATGCTGTCGCACCTCCCGGGATCACCATCTGCTGGCCAGCTGCCTTCACCGTCTCCTTGTCCTGCTCTTCCGTCACTAGATCCACTGGCAGCCTGGTAGATGGCGTGCCTGGCTTCCATGGCGCACTCTTCTGCGGGGAGTCCACAAAAGGTGACAAAGTGGCCCCCGATTCTTTGGGCTTGCCCTTGTTCTTGTTCTTGTTCTTGTCCACTTCGACCTTGGCCTGCTTTGCACGTGCAGACTTGGATCGGCCCCTGGCCCCCACCACACTCCAGCTCGTAGAGGAGAAGTGGGTTCCACATCCCGCGCACCAGCTGTGACGCTGGAGTTGCACCGAGCCGCATTCGCATCTCCATGCTGCACCATTCACCATAGTCTGCGGCATCTTGCTGCCGTGGTGGCGGTTCAACAACGAAGCGGCTTTCAGATCCAGGTGAGTGAATCTGGATCCCTTGCGATGCAAGCGGGTTCTGGCACGCGCACGGCGTTTCCGCCTGTTCTTGTGCCAGGAAGGTTCCGGTCTCTTGGCCGTGTGTGCAGATCACCAAGAAAAGGGCAAGCGCTGCGGGTCGCACCCAGCTGTCAACCATGCACGACAGCGAAGGATGCTAAGCCTCAACCTAGGATCCCTGAAAAAACAGAGAATCCACGAAGCCGAAACTTCATTCAGCCACTAACCACAACAAAAAAACCTTTTCCCACTGGTCAACTCCTACTGTAGCCATTGGCTACAAGCCCTCAAAAGTCAGAATTCTGACAATCATCTTGGCAATTTTGTTGACCTTGCCTGCAAAGTTCTTTCTCTCTTCATACGCCTTTCTCTCAAGCTCACCAGCTCTCGTTTGCTCTTCGTCGCGCCAGTCACCAATGAGGTCCATCAGAAATCTGATCCTCTGGCCTCTCCAAGTGGTTTGGTATTGATGTCTGCGATGTTGCTCTCTGTTGGAGCTCGCACTATATTGAATCTTTTCGGCTTTGAACCCACAGCAACTTGCCATCTTGTATCACTTTGCCGTGGTACCTTCAAATCACCATTCTCCAATATTTGCTCACGAGCATTGGTTCCCCAACCATGTTCCATCAGTCTTCCATAACAAAGTATGGGCTGATTCACTTTTGAACTGAAGATCACATTCTCTGAGGAAGAACTTCATGTCCATCATTTTCACGCAAGGAGATTTCGACACCCTTCATACCCCCGGCGGGGATACGATTCCCCTGGGCATCTTATAGTTTGGTTGCATTGAACTCTTCTCCATGATCTGCCACGTTCAAAAGGGCATAAAGCTACATCAGCTCCACTGTCGAGTCGACAATGATGGCCACATCATCTCTCCCTTCTCCAAGTCTTCCTACCTTGGGTGTCTGACTTTCAACTTCCGTGCTCCTTCTTTCTTTCCGTGGCTCATCATCGTCATCTCCAACGTAGAAATGAATAATTCGAGTTGCATGAGATTCTGAATCATCGTGCCTCTCTCGTAGGTAAAAAACTGATTGGCTCATTGTTCTCAACCCTTCTGACAACTGGTTTGGTCTCGGCTGAACTGCTCTGTTGAATCACAGTGGCTTGTTGTTGAGCAACTGTATGCGTAGTCACTGAACCTCTTGTGAAGACGAATTGGCTGGTTCACTTGCAACATATTGTTTCTCCAACAGTCTCGAGCAAAATGTCCTGGCTTCCCACAGGTGTAACAGTTCCCCACACCTTTTCCTTTCTGGTCTTTGCCCTCGCCGTTGCCCTTGTAACCACCTTCCTTTCCCTTTTGTCGTTCTCCTTTTCCTTTCTTTCATTTCCCTTTGGCGTCTCTGCCCTCGCCCTTCTGGTAGCCCTTTCCTTTGGCACCTGGAACTGTATCAACGTCCATGGGCATAGGTCCTTGACAGTCTACTACACTGCTACTTGCAACCATTGAAGTAGCCCACTTCTTTTGGGAACGGTCCCATAGCAACACTTGCTCCTTCAAAATTAGGTATTGAACATTGCCGCCAATTGTCAAATTCAAGCAAGATTTGAGCTGTTCACCCACACATTCTTGAATTGCTGTCTCTGACTTGCCCGTCTCCTCAAATACCTCTTCGAGCTTGAGAAGCTGAGGCTGCAGAGCACTGTTCATAGAAAATGCTGGCCATGTAGTGGCTGCTCCCAAGAGCGCTAATCCTCTGGCTTTTGAAGTACGTTTCAAATCTCTGTTCTCCAGGCATCAAACCCACTGGAGTCCTCCACAACTTCAGCCAACTGTAGTGCCCTGCCCCTCGTCAACGAAGCTAGCAATCCATACAGCTTGACGCATCTGGTCTTCTCTTCTTTCTCTGCCAAGCCCATATCGAAGCTGTCATTTGGCTTGTCATGAATCTCTTTCAAGTCCCAAATGTAAGTCTCATCCGATGAACTTAGATACTTCTCCAATACACGTGACCACTTTGTGAACGCTTGGATCTCTTCCTCCTGAGGTTTGTGCTCAAAATGAGTTAGGCTTTGTGATCAGCTTTGACCAATCCGTTGTGTTCGTCTTCTTGTCTTCAACTACTTTCTTCACTGCCTCTGCTGCTGTTGCTGATGCTTGCGTACTTCTTGCAACCAGTTCCAGGAATCGTTTTATCCCACCCATTGTCAGAAACACGGTGTAATTGCAGAGTGCAGTATCAACAGGTCAGCAGTTTGGGTTCAAAAGGCCCCAAATCTATGGCTCAGATGCTTGCCGGATCCCAGTGATGTACGGGGCCTGGGGGCTTTTCTCTGGAGCTCAAAGGGGGGTTCCCTTATCCTTGCTCCGCTACCATATGAACTGTTTCCTCTCAATCCAAAAGCGGCCTGCGGGTGAAAAAGTCAATGACATGCACTGTGATCTCTACCGGTAATTCTTCACAGAAAACCGTTTTTCAAGCGCAAGGATTTTTCATAACCGTGTCTATCGTATCAGACATTTACAACACGACACTGTTAACAATGCAATACTATTTGTTTTCTATCAAACTGACTACAAATGTCATATATGTGATTGATTGAGTTTATGATCACGGCCATTTAGTAGATATGAAATTTAGGAGGCAACAGGTAGCAAGTGGTGGACTCACAAAGTTCCCCACACACTATGGCAACCGCGCGGTCGTTCGCGACCGATCCCAGCCGAAGCTGGGGGTTAGGGCGACGCAGCCTTTTGGTCACGGCTCGAGGTCCCACCACACTGCGGTCATGTGTGATGGTGTCTATGATGCAACCTCATGCTTTCATGAGAAGTGTTGGAAACACTTGACAGGAGGAATTTGATGATGGTTGTGATGGTTAACCCATAAACCTCATAAGTAGTTTACCTCATTAGATGTATGTTTTGTTCTTTGTTATATGATTAGTAGCTGAATGGGAAAAATGTACGTTCAACTATGTATGAATTGATGGTTTTGGGGGAACAATACTTTAATGTTTTATGGCAATTCTTGAGACATATACTCGAGGATTTACTACGATTAACAATTAAAGGAAAATAAGACTCTGTGGATTTTGTGTTGATGAACTTCCCATTGATGATTTTGACAAAGGACTGAAAACCTGTAGGAATTGTTTTGAATATAGAAGAGCTCATTGTGATACACAAAAATAAAAATATAGAGCAACAAAGAAAACAACTATCAAATGATGTGGACAAGAAAAAACAGAAACTAGAAGGCGGCAAGGAAAGAGGTAGAAGAACCGTCACCTGCTCTGTTTGTAATTGTTCCTTGTGTTATGCAAAACTTGCTGAGCATAAAATAACAAAAAACGTCAAAGACATCTAAGAATGGTATAACCTTAAATGATTTATGTTATATGTTTGGATATTTGGCGACAACAATTATATCATAATATTACATCACCCCTTCTCAGAACATACATTTAAGACATGTTTTGACCTGCCCCGCACGGGTCACTGGACTGTGGCGTGGTTGATTCTTACCCGGTAAGCGTGTTGTCGAAAACGAGTGCAGTTGGTCGACCGAGGCGAAATGCGGATGTTTGGATCGAACGGTACGCCGACTGGCACGGAGTCCATGATTTAATTTGAATTCAATTTGTTCAGAAACTGATTTAACCAACGTGGACCATCTAAAATCGCGCGCGAGCTCTCCGTCCCGTCGCTCGGAGCGTCCAATTGCTCGGCAACGGCAACAGAATGCGATAAAGTTGCCCCGTTTTCGGTCGAAGAAACGAAAAACCAGAGACGCTTCCTAAGTCCTCTCTTCCCTCTTTCAGGCGCTGAATAACCAATTAGGCGCTGAATTGCCATCTTTGGCGTAAACTGAACGATTGAGCCCGATCTGAATTGGCAGCTTATCGAAAACGATGACGGGGTATCATTGTAACTTAGTTCATGTCCCCATATGTCTCACAAGAAGAACAAACCAAAACTGCCACCTTTCAAGCTGTTTCATCTCTGAGTGCTGGACTGGCTTTTCTTTCGATCGCAAATGCCCCGATAGGTCGCATTGGCGGTATTGAACACATGCCTCAAACGACAAAACGTCCAAAACGTCTCCGCTTGGACTTCGTTCTCAGAGGAACACGGTTTGCTGGAAGGTTTGGTCGACATAAAGCTCCGCAAGACCTTCAAAGCGAGTGAAAGAAACAGAAACAAATAACAAATCGTCTTGTTTCGCGCTTCTTCGCGTCTTCCGGATCTGAGGCTCTCACATCTTCGTCGTACAAATTTGGAATTCCTTTGAACGGATTCAGCCTCGGACAGCATTGACTGTATTTTCATACGGTGCATTCACTGCATGTTTTCTTCGCATTTTCTTTCTCCTTTCACTCTCCGTCGCTTTCTCTCCGTGACTCTGGACGCGATGAGGATGGGCCCGGTGAAGGTGTAAATCTTGTCAATGTCAAAACGATTCTGCAAGGAGCTTAGTACCTGAAACGGAGCAGTTTATTTCAAGGAAGAAGCAGAAGTGATTTAAACACGGCGTCAGACTTCAAAGGCACAGAGCTTCTCTCATCAACCCGAGGCAAACAGCATTAGTTACAAGTTACATGCATATGTATTTTTGTAAAAGAAACGAACACCAAGCCAACCAAGCCGAGCGAGTGGCCGTGAGTGGCGAGTTGACAAGTCTCGCGCGAAGTCTCCGTCTTTGCGACTCCGCGTCCGTTTCCGCTTTCGTCTTTTCGCCGACTTTGCGACACCTGTTTGCCTTGTTTAGAATGATACGGTGCGACACACGGGGTGACACAGACAATACAAGAGATGCCTTATCTCAACGAAATGGGTTCACTAGGAAGTCCCCACTACCAATTCTATTGGCTTACGCAGTCCCGCTTGCGTCCTCTCCATCGCCCAGCTTGTAATGGAAACAGCAATGTCCCAACGAAGGCTGGTTTGGCATGATTTTGGGTATGCAAGCAGAGCAAGGTGAGGAAAGCAACTCATCACGCACAGTGCCAGGCAGTGCCAGGGAAAAGGCAAAACGGCATGAGGATAGCATAGGGCATAGGATCCTTGTTAGACATGTACCTCATTGTCTGTGGGGTTTTGTGCATGTCCTTGTGAATGCCAGTTCTCCGCTAGTGTTCTCCTCACGTTGCTGCTTTTCCAAAGGTCGGTACTCTTGGGGAAAT